ACAGTTCGGGAGTAAATGCACGACATGGTGGACACCAATGAGCAGAAAAATATAAACCTGCACAATACAAATATACATCCATAATAAATAAAATAGAACCCTCTAAGTACAGGTGAACCACGCCAGCCATAACACAACATAAACCAATCCCCCCCCCCCTTATACGCCCAAAGGTAAATTGAAAGCAATACACAACAAAAGTACTATCATAAATGCAAAAGGACTATCACAAACGGCAAAGGTTCTATCATTCTATCATAAACAACAAAAGTACTATCAACATAAATCAATAGGGGGGGGGGGGGGGTACCAGTAAAACCGTCTTGTTTTGTACATGTACATCTGCGGTTCAAAATATTATTCCCACCAATAACATTTAATGCGATCAGGTAAGTAACTATAACTAATAGAGATCCCTAATGGTATACCAATTACCAAATTGTTGTTATTAATTTTCAGGTCGTGCGCAAAGAGGTTTCGGTCTTGTGCGAGGTGTTTTACAGAAGAAACTTTGTGTTTGTCTTCGAATTATTTTCGTTCCGATCCGATTTGAAATCCAAACCCCGATGCGACAATTACTCGGAGTCAAGAAGCGAATACGGAACAATCAAACACGTGCCAGGGCCGCCTGTTTATATTGTGTTTACGGACAGCCCAAGAGGGAGAAATGGTATATAGATCTAGCAAACCACCCTAGCAAAAATTACCCTTTTTTATTTAATGTACAGTATAACGACTAGAAATCATTTCAAAGCTTCTGCATATACGAAAACGCCACTATCCTGGCAAAATGTCCCCCATAGCACACAGCAAGCCATATGCCCATCTTCAATAGCAGAGTTGGTGCATAAAGTTAGGGCGTCATTACGGATATACGTACACATTAGACCTATATATATATACACTTAAAAACTATATCTTTATTATTGTAGATCAATAAGTTGCGATATGCCAAATGTAAAGGTCGGGTAAGTGGTTATGCATAAGGAAGACATTTTGTACACTAGGCTTTCATTTCGACATGTCTGTCAGATCTAGAAAATGTAAACTCAAAACCTGTTTAGTAATTCTAGACCAAAGACTGTACTGGGGGGGGGGGGCGTCCGGAATAATTGTCTAGTCGTTCGGATGGGACGAAAAAAACACCGGGATTTCTTGCACACATTTTCGTGCACCTTAAATAACTCTTGGCATATGCAATTCTAAGAAAATGTTAATTCAAAACGTTTTCAGGAATTCTAGACAAAATAATGTACACGGAATTCTACGTACCTACTACTTTACCGGCACCAGTAAAAGATGACACAGGGACTTCTTCTCCTTGTTGATTCTTAACGATAACACCTGATAACCCTTCTAAGGCAGACATCTTGTTTTATTGCTTCGTTTAAATTGAGCTCTTTCCGTTTCAAAATATATGTTTCTTGCAATCGTGCAAAGATGCGATAGTCTGTCGGACTTGAATGTTGGAATTTATATACGTGTAGATGCTGGTCACGTGACATCGGTTGTTAGGATTATGTTAGTATCCATGTGTTAAAGTGGATTACATAATATACTAAACAATGATATCCCGGCGTATATCATGATTTTTCAATCTTATTAATAATTATCGGAAATTTATATAAATAATTAGTAATATTACCTACTACCATGTTTGTATCGCAATTACCGTGCAGTTGACCAGATATTAAACCGTATTCCCTTCCCTTTCGAAACAACGACACTTGTCTATAACATTCAAGTATTAATGATCAGATTAAATACAATAGCACAGCCAAATAGCTTTAACTAGGGGGGGGGGGGGTCTTCCCATAATGCCGACTCACCGAGTTTTGGAAAGTCGACCGCGGCACCCTTTGATTGGATTAAAACGGATTAAAAGCGTTAATGAGGCAGGGACCAGTCATTATTAATATAGTTCACTGAAATTGATTTTTACCACAGACCTTTATTGACTTTTTTGCCGAAACAATTATTAAAATTCGTGAAAAGTTTGTTGAGTCCCCCCCCCCCCTTACAATGACATTTATGTCCCACCCCAGTGTAATTTCTCTGCTTTTGAGCCATTGAATGTTGATGATGTAATATCAGTGGTGTGTCGAATGAAGTGTAAGTCCTGTGCTCTGTACCCAATTCCTACAAAACTACTAAAGGAGTGTCTGGATGAAATATCACCAGCTTTGACGATTATTATAAATGATGTGCTCTCCTCTGGTATTTTTCCGGATGATTGTAAGGAGGCCATTGTAAGACCTTGCTTGAAAAGATCATTTTATCTCAAATAATAGATTATCTCACTCGAAACTCACTGCTCGGTAAATTCCAGTCTGCTTATCGAGAGGGGGATAGCACTGAAACCGCACTCCTTAGAGTGCATAACGATGTTATAGATATGAACAAGTAAGACTGAATTTATTAGAATTTTTGGACTATGTTGGACTGCGTGCAAAAATTTAAAATTGTGCTATGTCATGTATTATAAATTAAAAAAAAAGAAATGCTCCCAAAATTATCTGCTTAATGAGGTTTATCCTTCAGCTTGGGTCTATTGTTCTTGGCCACTCATTCCCATAACGTCGACCAAAATTTTTCCCCTAAAACTAGAGATATATTAATATTTTCTACAGTTGCATCAAACATGACAATCTCATTATCGCAAGACATATTATGAAACAATGCCCGATAATGATTTATTGTATTATATTAGATTTAAAAATAGTAATCATTTATTATTCCCGTCTTCGTTTGTCCAGTCGGTGCAAAACAGTAGGACGTTAAACCCCATTTCATTTCATTTCATTTCATTTCATTTACTATTCTACCTCTCGCAAGACGTATAATTTAATATGCTATACTACGGAATAATGAATTATTGTTTTATATGAGATACTATATTAACATTATTTTAATTATTACTCTACCTCATGCGAGACGTATAATTTAACATGATTATACATACTCCCCGCATCACGATGAATGTTTTCGGTCAACACCGGGTGCGAACCCTCGACCACCAGACTACGGAGCCAGCTTCTTACTCACTGAACCATCCTGGCTCCCATTTCGTAATTCAAATCCTTTCAGCACTAAACATACATAATGCAAAGCAATACATTTTTTGTCATTTTTAGCCAGCTATATGTAACACATGCTAGAAACTAGACTCCACTAGACTCGAGACGACTAAGGTCTAGACCATGAATGGCCGTCCGACGCGCTAGAGGCTAATGTAAATATCTGATCGACTTTAAATTCATGCACAGTTCATAAGGTCATGGATGAATAAACAACTTGAATTTGAACGATTTACGATAATTACTGCCAGAGTTATGGCCCATGATATTTATGCACGGTGTTTAAGGTCATGGATGAAGAAACCAATTGATTTTGAACGATTTACGATAATTACTGCCAGAGTTATGGGCCATTAGATTAATATATAGGGCAGAACTCGTAATCAGAATTTAGTGTGTGTAAATGTTTGCATTATAATTAGCTGGTTATGTTACCGCAGTATGTGTTTCAGTGACGAAGGGCTGCGGCTATGTAGGCTACATCCCAACATGCGCGCAAAGTTATCGTTTCCGGTAAAACTGTTGATCTGAGTCAAGCGTGTCACACTCAAATCTTGACTGCGAATAACCCGATTCGGAACAACTGTTCCGGGTTGAATTATTCGGAAAATATACGGATTCGTTAATTCAGATTCAGTTCGGTTTTTATCGAATTGAGTGTGACCCCAAAGTCCGGAATAAGACTTTGTTCCAAATTCAATTCAGATTAAACACCTAGTGTGAACGCAGCTTTTGACTTTGGATGATATTGAGTTATAGACTTCGCTACTTTAACTAACCCGACATATCGGGGGTAAACTCACCCAAAATGAAATTACCTTCTCTGAATTATTTTCAAGCGTATAGTTTGAATAGTATTAAGTTAGCATGGATGGTGTGTACCAAGTTTAGCAACCTCCTGTCAGTACAAATAATATTTTTGACACTGTCATAAGTATTTCCTACACGCCCTTTAGTCGTAAATATACGTCATGATCCTCGACTTTGTTCCATTGTGTTTAAAACATACTTTCGTCTTCCCACAGTCGTAAGGGTGGAGGATTGGGAGGGGCCTCATAAGTGGAACAACCTGGAGCTTCTTTTTATCTAAACCCGGCATTGCCCACCGTCCTTGTATAAACGGCATTGTCTTATTACAAACAATTATAAAGGTGGATTTGTTGACGTCCCAAATTCGTGAAATTTAACGCTGAAACTTGCCCGAATAAAAGTCAGTATAGCACTGCGCTTCCGGGATGTGGCGTCCATGAAGCACCACGATCAAATGAACGTTATTCAATATTTAATGTTATACAATGATGAATAGAATGTGATGATATCATACAGCTGTAAAACTGCACATGTACATTGCAGCATATCCATCAATCAACTCATTTTGAATTCAAAATAATCGTATATATTTTATGGCATTTATGCTAATAATATAATTAGCCGCAAAAAAAGGTTTAACGCGTGCGCTTTAGATCATTGAGATTGAGTCCAACTGGTTTGGTTGCGTTCCTACACTTGTACGTGACAAGGTGTTTGGTCGTTGGTCTTACTTCGTGGGATTTCTCCTGCCCCCTACCCAACTGTTAAATACCCCCTTCCCAAGCTTCTACGCGCAATATGTTTGTCCCGAAGTGACCTAGTTTGAGTTGAGTGGACGTTAGATTTCAACAGTAACGTATTTTAACACACCAGAAAAATTTGGTGAAATCCACCAATCCGATGAAGAGAAGTTGAAATTAGCTAAATTATTTATATTTATTGACAAAATATTTGTATGCATGAAATAAATCATTGACGGTCCAACCAAAATCGACGTCCGTCGATGAACTAGTAATAACAGTATATATATGGATTAAAATGAGAATAAAACAGGAACTATTAGTAGATTACGTTATGCGTTGTTGTTGGGGTTTTTTTTGCGGGGGGGGGGGGTTGCTTTGAAAATATAAAACTACAAGATCCTCACTTAATAAAAGAATTGTTTTTCACAGTGTGAAATGTCAAACACGTTTTGCATATAGTGCAATTACTGTTCCTGGAACTAGACAAGGTTTTGTTTCTTAATCTCTTCCGGAATCGCCACAAATCCTAAGCTGGAACTAGATAAGAGTTTGATTATATAATGTATTTTGTAGATCACTTTGTTACCACGGACTTTACGTATGGGTGTTATGATTTTGTTTCTGATCGTCATTATGAATACCAGTTATCTTCTCTGCTGTAAAAAAAAAAACAATTGAATTTGTTAAAACCAGCGTCAAGATTAAATAATTGTTGTTCAATCTTTAAACATTCCCTAAAATTTACTTTAAAATGAAATGGTGTTTATCGTCCGACTGGTCTGCTCCTACTGTGGGCTAATGAAGACGGGCATACGCCACGCAGTGTGCTATAAGAGAGAAATGGGGTTTAACGTCCACTCGACACAAACTAGGTCATTTCGGGACTAACGTATGGTTTTAATTTTATTCCAAAAATTCGCTTGCGCGGATGGGTCTTTAGCAGTGGGAGGAAACCGGAGGACCCGAAGAAAACCCACGAGGTTGGACAGGCGACCCTACTCCTTGTCACGTACAACCGAGTGTGCTATGAGGAAACTGTTACCTGTACAGCGGCGCTACGGCCTACTTTTATTTCGTGCACACCAATGTTTACACGGGACCTCGGTTTTTCGTACCATTCCAACGACTATACATTGTCCCTTGCCATGCCCTCCGTCTTACATCACTGACGAGGGGGAACCAAGCCGGAAAATCTCGATGAACTTTCTCTCGGCCAACGCAGGGAGCGAACACGGGACCCCGAGAGAGCCAACGTCATACTCGCTAAGCCACCCTGGCTCTCCAAAAATTAGTATAATTGGATATCATTATTCATGGTCATTGTGATACAGATGACTGTTCAGTTATAAGGCATATATAATATGCATTATGCAACAGCTAAATCTGCCTATTGTGGTTTTTTTTTCTGATTTCAAATGTTACATAAATTATTACTTGAACATTTATTCACGTGACAAGCTCATAATAAACCCTCCAGATCATCAAGAGGCTTGGATATTAAGTGGATCAGACAATGTCTGCCATATCGTCGTGAAACGTTTAAATGCAAAATCGAGGAGACTTTGTTTATTATCGACACTATCTAAGCGAGTTGTTGTCAATACTTAAAACATACATAACTCCACTCGGTATATCTAAATCTTACATAATACATCCTGAAATATACACAATACATGATCTGCTACACGACAATGTTTTTATTTAAAATTATTACGATCCTGTCATAGACAAACAAGCTTGACAATGGTAGCCTTTGTATGGTGTTCTATTTCGGCCACTTCCCGATCGGTCACTTCCCGAGTCGCCCTTTTAAAAAGCGACGCAAAATTCGCGTTGCGCGTCGCTTTTTTCAATGTTTAAAAATGGAGAAAAAAAGTGATGTCGACTTTTTAACACGACATCGCCCTTTATAAAGCAAATTATCCAAGTGCTGATCAGAAACATTCAAACGGGGACCCTTTGAATATTTATGGACTAGCCTCCTTGGTGGCTCCGATAACAAATCACCAGCCTTCGCTTCCCCTAAACCTGTTTAAACCAGTCTATATTTCAGCAAATAGAGAGGGTAGAGTTATTATTTTTTTTCTAAGACATATTATAGGGTTTTCTGATCAAATGGAGAGTTGAAGGGGAAATAAATATAAAAAATACATATACGTTGATTTAATAAATAGTTATTTAGACAAAGTGTTGAAAGTATCAAAAATGGTATTTTAACATTTTTTTAATCATCAAATATCAAAACTGAGCGCATACACTAAACAAAGCAGTTACAGTATGCAATGGCGTGGGGGTGGGGGCGTCACATAGGCTTGTGAGGGCCCCGTTAGTAACTGACTATCGTTCTCATATTTAATGATTTTAGACGGTGTCCAGGTTAATTAGTGCAGGAGTGAACGTAATCTTGGATTCTTTCGACACCGATCTTAATATTAATTCTTCAGGGTTGCTAATACATTCGTCGTAGAATATAAAAAAAAAACTATATATATATATATATATATATATATATATATATTCTCGTATTGATACAATGTTATCAGTACCCTGTCATCTAACTATAGTGTATGACTGTATCTGCAGAGAGCACAAGGTCACTCTTTCACACTAGGGTTTAAAATTTTAAGTTTAGAACAGAGATTTAAAATATAACATATAATCTCGATATTATAGAAATGTCTTAGTTATATAAAGGATATTATTTGTAGGATCCTTATATAAATTACTTTATTGAAGATAAAATACCGAAGGGCGACGTCGTGTTAAAAAGTCGACGTCGCTTTTTTTCTCTATAGCTCAACATTGAAAATGGCTGCGCGTCGCTTTTTTCAAGGGCGACGCGGGAAGTGGCCGAAATAGAACACCATACCTTTGGTAGGGCTCACTATGTCTAGATATCGGTTATCCATGTTTCCTGGCTTTCAATCCCTGTTCGTAGGCTTTGACTTGAAATGAGAACAGCGAGTTATTCGACCGAAAAATTCTATGAAAACCTCCATCGTACCTTGAAAATTTTCTACCTACTGTTCATGGCTAACTAAAATATCAACAGAGGTTGCCTTCAACGCATTCTACTTAGATAGTTCTTTGGCTAAAATTTACACGACATGCATTATAATTCATCCAATTGTTTTGGGGCGATATGTTAATGACCTAACTTGACCTCTTATCTAGCTAATAAACTACTTTGTCCTAGCAAGACTAGTGAGATAAAACACGGCGTATGACGAAGCGTAATATGAATATGCAAATTATATACAATATTGCACATAACTTTAAAACATAATAACAAAAATATTATTTTTGTATAGAAACACCGGTTATTTGAGGGGTACACAAATAATATTAACTGCCAATTTTCAACAAAACACCTACGTACTAACTTCAGGCTTTTTTATCGACTTGCCAAATCGATTTGAATTTAGTGGAGATGTCATGTGACAGTATAGTCGATTTCAAAGTACTTTGGCGTGTTCGTTAAATGATCTGATTAGCTGTAAACAATTGTTGTGGCTGGACACAGTTGAAAAAAACACGTGATCACCCGATCAAATCGTCAAATCGCACCCTGAAGTGATTTGGCGATTTGATGTAATCGCTTCGGAAATCGGTGTCGATAAATTCGTTGATTAGGGTAACCAATTTGAATTAGATGGACGTTAAAGATGAAAATTTGATTGAATGCAAATCACTTTGGCTAATCAGTGGTCGATAAAAACGCCTATAATCTTGTTCTTGGTGTTTTTTAACGCCCGCTTCCACCGAAGGCGATATCGCAGTCAAGTTATTGTCTTATTTTTATTGTCTTAGCGCACGCGCAGGGGTATTTCCTGTTGGAGGAAACCGGAGTAAACCCACGAGGTTGAAAAGGCGCCCCTATCCCCAAATCTCACATACGCTCATACCAGGGATCGAAGCCACGACCGCAGGCCAGGGGTGACCGGCCAGTTAGAGCTCGAAGCGCAACACGCTAGACCACTAGGCCATCCCAACCCCCAGAAACTTCATGGTATCTTAATGTTATTTAATGTGCGTACAATAAAGACATGCATATAACAGTAGTTTAAGTTTACCTTATCTGCACAGTGTGTCTTGAACCATTCGATATCATCGAAGCTAATGTGGCACACCCCTCTCGATTAGTATCTATATATAATATTACTTTACACAGCTGATAATATGGTGTTCGAAATTTTCCATTAGAGTATATTGACATGGGTTTTTCTGTAACTCGACATACTTGTTTACTATACCATGATGTACTAAAATATACTAAAGCGACGTTCACCTTTTGACACAAAATAATAATGAAAAATATTTTAGCCATGACAAATATTTGTAATGTAAACATAGTGTTTATATTAATAAACATACACCCCTGTTTATATGTTAAAATATTAAAACATAATATAAACAAACACAGAATGTAGACCCGTGTTTATTTTACTTGGATTTGGGGTTGCTAATTTCAGTTCGTACATTGGAAATCAAATAGATTTTGACCAACTACTATAATCGGTCCACCACTCAAATTATTTATATTGTATTGCAGAGAACTGTGGTTTGGCGGATGGTAAGGCACCGCTGTTATGAACAGATTCTAAAATACATTCCAAATATTATTTTAAAAATTATTATGAATCTGGAATGTGTTAATAATGCCCTGGGCCCTGTTTCACAAAATTTTAACTAAAGATAAAATCCAAATTTTAGTAGATACTTCAATTTTGATTGGCTAAGCACTAAAATCAATCTACTATTATCCAATCAAATTACTAAAATTGGGATTTTATCTTAGTTAAAATTTCGTGAAACAGGACCCTGGTCGTTAACAGTATCAATCGTGATCTACTTGATTAAATCTCCAGTAAACAAACACTTTCAGGAATCGTCCTCAAACTGGCTTCTAGTTGGATATACTGGATGCTAACGCAGTAAAAATAATCTGGCGTGCCTAAATTATTCTGGATGTACATACCAGCCCCTGTGCACGACACCCATACCAATATATGTTGTTATGAAGCCGAAACTCCTAGGATGTATACCAATTCTACACTTCATGGTAATATGCAATGTTTTACCACCAGCAGTATAAATGATTAGACGACTTTGCAATACGATTCTAGTAATCTAGTCGAATATGCTGCTAAAAGGTGGAATTAGATTTTAAGAACTTTGACATTGCTGCAATTTTAGAACTGCATTTGGTATTCGGCAACCCTTTAAAGTAGGTACAACCGCTTGAATTACAACCAGTGGTTGGCAGGAAAGATACGCCCACATTTTACAAGAGATGGATAGATAATAAGCTAACTAAACGCGAGTTACAGTCCGATATGCTCGAATCTCAAAAGGAACCAAGATATGTTGGCTATTAACATATATTTTAAGTTTCATCAAGATCGGATAACAACTGTGACTTCTAGAGGTTCCACTACCTTAGTATTACATACCTTTACGCTATTTGCGTTCGAGGAGCGGCCATTTTGTCAGACAGTTTCAGACCGATTTTGACGGAATTCGAACTCAACCGTCATTATGGTGTAACGTTGATATATGTAAACGGGTTTTTTTATCAATCGGATGAAAATTGTGACCTCTAGAGGGACCACGAGGTAAACACGCGATATTTCGTACACTTAGGGGCCATAAACCAGCACGTGAAGGTTCGATATGTGCGAATATCAAAAGGAACAGAGATCTTTGGGATATTAACATACATTTCAAGTTTCATCAAAATCAGATAAAAACTGTGACATCTAAGAGCCATAATCAATGAAGTTACGGTCCGAGATCTTTGGGAGATGCACCTATATTTCAAGTTTCGTTAAAATCGGATACAAATTTTGACCTGTAGAGTGTCCACAAACAAAATGTGAATGTACACATGGACTGACGGACGGACAGGGGCGACGACAATATACATCCACGTGCAAATGTTGGCGTATAAAAAGTGAACACTATAACATAAATAAAGCGAACAACAATGTGTGTATTCATTATCTTCCATTAAAGATACATTTCAGCACAGCGTGTCCGGTTTATATCAGTCTTCACTAAATCTAATATCACTTCACGTTGCAAAAATGTTTTTTGTTTATATTCGAGCTTTGGGTCTAGTTGCCTTGAAGAGCTGAAATCTATATTCTTTGGACCCTAAAATCGAAGAAAATGGGCCAAAAAGCACAATGTACAATGAATGTATAAAGACTGATTTCAATATTTCAATTGTAATTTCTAATCAGTTATGTTCTTCTAAATACATGAGATATCAAAATTGAACGATAGTCTCTCGCTCCTTGTTATTCCAGTCTACATCGTTGACATTGCACTTACGCGCTGACGTTTTACCTCGTTTATCAACGCTTACACGATGTCGTGTACTGGTTTTAAAATTGTTCAGTGTCACGATAATCTTACTATTCATTAAAATGAACCAATAATTCTTGTTTGTATATGACAGATAATGTGGATAATATAGGGTAAGAACTCATAGACATCTTATTATAGCAAGGACTTCTACAAGATATGGCATGATTTACCCTTCTGGAACAAATTAACAGCACTGGTGATCTTTCTCAACCACTTTTTCTTTATTTTGTTTAGTTCGTCGAAATAGTTTTGTTTTTTGACTATCCTTTAAAGGATTCGACTGATTTTATCTAGTAATTCTGGCTTCTTTATTTCAATTCCAAGCTTCGTTAATAATACTGAACAGGTGCATATAAGAGTTTAAACCAGTTGTCAACAGCTTTTCGGTGTCACTTCTCTGCGAATACCGAATTTGCGGTTTTTCAGATATATAATACTAGGGTTCCATATATGAATCAATCATGACGAGAAGATATGCGCACACTACTGAGTTATTTGTTGACGAATTCTCGTCTCGTATGTCGTATACACATTATGCATCTACTGACTCCAGGGAAGATGCACTACCATAACTGGCTTCATGTCGGTGATAAACTGGAAATCCGCGTAGGTGTTTTAGGGTCTGGCATAGCTGCTCTCTGAAGCAAAGTAAAATCATGACGATTATGAAGCAAACACCGTAGAGAGTTAATAAAAGAATATACATGGTATGCATCCAAAGAGAGGATTGTTTGGCATCGGAAGTTCATCCACATTGATTTTGTATTCATGTAATGGTAAATTTGTATATTCTGAAAAGATAATAATTATATTAAATTTTGCTCTATATAGATTGCTTCTAATAATATCCAGTTTATCTAATTGGATGGGTGGTGGTGGGGGTCACAATTATTTGCTCGCTTTGCCATTGCATCATCCGATAAGGATATTATATTATACCCAGAAACTAACTAATAACATAGGTTTACTACCGAAAGAAAATTGGCTTAGCGTCGTGGTAAAGGGTGGGAGGGGGGGGGGTAAATAAATGCTCGTCCTCGATGAATAATTCCGTCAAGATTTTGAAATAAATCTAAATCCCACTGCATTAATCTTGATCGATAATAAAAAAGATCTATGTAAAAGACTCAAAACTAACATAAACGCACAGCCCCAATATCCATTGGGTTCATCCTGTTAACAAGTCAAACATTCATAGAGAAGCCGTGTTCCACCCAAAGAAGCCTGAAATTTTAACAAATATAAATCCTTAAAACGCATCCTTTAAAATACCCAATACCCAAGACAGAGCTGTATTTCCTAATGTGGGCGTATCGAAAGTGAAAGGAGTGTATATAATGGCTTACCGTTTAGTTTCGAGTAGTGCTGTATCACAAAGCAAAGTTGACCAGCCAGTATTCTCGCCAGAAAATAAAATTATTGTGTACAAGAGTGCAGTGAAGAATTTAAACTATTTGTTTTGATGTTACAACACGTTGTCTTATATTTCATCATTATTTACATCAGCACAACAATCAGTATTTCAACCTATGAAACTCGTGTACTTATCAGGGTCATTGATAAAGCTATACTTGTCATTGATAAAATATAACTCTTTAATGAATTTTTTTAGATTTGTATTCGTAGTGCAGATGGGAACAAAACAGAGGTCTATAGATGTATGCTTTGACGTGCACGTAATATACCCACTGAAGGTCGCAGTTCAAGGAAGCGTAGGTACAAGTGACACTGTCGATATGCTAACATAGAGATATACAGACTTGAGCTGAAGCGGCTATGTCACTTGTCTACCATATAACAATATAGCCCAGTGCTGTCTGGGCTTGTTGACGACAGACACAGCCGTGCCATTGTTCTAGAAACCGGAACACACTTATAAATGACAATGACTGAATCATTCATGGCCAGCTTGTCACACACTATTATGTATTTAATCCTTGAGGACCATTTAGCAATTGACTTATAATATATAATATAATACTAGAAAACTGAATACGTATTAGAAATTAAGGAGCCGAGGGGGCTTAGCGAGTATGGTGCTGGCTCTTGGACGAGAAACATAAAGTTATATCTCCATCTCCACTAAAAATATATGATGGCGTAGCATATTTCTGAGAATAAAGAAACCAAATGACTTCTGTAAATAAATCAATTACTGTCAAGGTATTGTGCTAATTGCGTGACTATAAAGACCATCAGCTATTGGTAAAGGGACACAACATTCTAATCTGTTCAAAATATTCTTAACACCATTTACAGTGATATAATAGTTTACATAACAGAACAAAGGGAGATCGAATTCTTGAAGCTGAATCCGGTGATAACCATATCTCATTTTTATACGCCCACATTTTCATGTGGACATAATATATTGTCGTCGCCCCAATCCGCCCGTCCACAATTTGTGGTCACAATTTTTACCCGATTTTAACGAAACTTGAAATATAGATGTATCTCACAAAGATCTCGATTCCTTTCGAAATTGGCGTGTATCGGACCGTAACTTCATGGAATATAGCCCCGGATTGTACGAACATCACTTTTTTAGCTTGTGGACACTCTAGCGGTTACAATTCTTATCTGATTTTGACGAATGTGCGTTTATAGCCGAAAGATCTCGGTTCCTTTCGATATTCGCGCATATCGAACCGTAGCATCCTGGTTTATGGCTCCTAATTGTAAGAAAAATAGCGTGTTTAGCTCGTGGTCCCTCTAGAGGTCACAATTTTTATCCGATTTAAAAATCCGTTGAAATATAACACCGTTACACCATAATGAGTTCAAATTTCGTGAAAATCGGACCTAAACTGTCGGACAAAATGGCCGCCTTTCAAAAGCAAATATTGTAAAAGTAAGTAATACCAAGTTTGTGGACCCTCTAGAAGTCACAATTTTTATCGATCTTGATGAAACTTAAAATATATTTAATATCCCAAAGATATTGGTTCCTTTCGATATTCGTGCATATCAGACCGATTTTGACGAAACTTGGAATATAGGTTTATCTCCAAAAGATCTTGGTTCATTTCGATATTGGCATGTATCGGATCGACACTTCATGGATTATGGCCCCTGATAGTACGAAAAATCACGCTTTAGCTTGTGGACACTCTAAAGGTCATAATTTTCATTGATTTTGATGAAACGTAAAATGCGTGATTATAACCCAAATATCTTGGTTCCTTTCCATATTCGCACATATCGCATCGTAACTTCCTGAATTATGGTCCTTGATTGTACGAAAAATCGGGTTTTAGCAATGGTCCCTCTAAAGGTCACAATTTTTAT